GTTGCCAGTCCAGCCAAGAAGCTGGGACAGGATCAGGATAAGAGTTTAGAAAAGCCTAGAAATACCTTGTGGGAAAAACAGATGTGTCTTCTCACAAAGAAAATATTCTCCCGTGGGGTTTGATGTTTTGAAGTTTTTCATCTACTTGAGGGCCTCTGGTGAAGTCTTGACTGGAACTGTGACCTGGTGGTGCTATGGCACCATCAGAAAGGGACAGCTTTAAACTGCTGGTAATTCCTGCCATGCTTTGTTCCTGGTGTGAGGTTTGTTGGAGGGAGGACATGCTAGGAAGTGATTCTTACCACCTATCTACTGCCTATTCCCACCCTCCTCCAGCCCATCCTGACGCCCTTAGTCCCACATCATTCCCACTCTGATTCCCCATACAAGTGCTGATATGTCATGACTGTGACTGTGCCCTTTGTGAGCAGTTGTTGGTGTGTTCCTCAGCCCCCAAGAGACGTCGACCCGCGCGCTCCATATTCGACGGCTTCCGGGATTTCCAGACGGAAACCAGTAAGTGTCTGCAGATCAGTAAGCCTCAGCCTCTGGCTCAGTTTGCAAGTAAGACTGAAAAAAAACCTTTCTGCTGTAGTGTTAGGACAGCTCTCAGTCATTGAATGGGTTTAAAGTTCCATACTGCACAGCAAAATTGTTTCTCACAATGTGATTGGAGTCATAGAACTGCGATTATCACAGTGTGCTCTCTCTGCTTTGGCGTGGCAAAGGCTTTCTTGCTAGCTCTCAAAACACTGCTCCTGCCAAGTCAGGGCTTTTTTGGCTCATTTGTTTTTAAATCCTAGTCTGTGACCCCTCTGCTGGTGCTCATGTTTGTTAAGATGGTTCTTGAAAGTGAAGGGGTGTGAGGAAGCCAAGCTGAGGGGGCTCTTCCCTGGCCTACCAGCTCACCTTGCTTAGTGGGATCTAACCCCATGACTAGTGCCGAAGCTTTGTGTGTGATCATTTAGCCAACAGTAAATACACCCTGTGAGTACTTTTTGTCTAACTCCTTCCTTTCCTCTTGGGGCTGTGCAGTCCGGCAGGAGCAGGAGCTCCGGAACGGAGGGGCAGTGGATAAGAAGCTCACGACTCTCGCAGACCTCTTCAGGCCTCCCATTGACCTGATGCACAAAGGCAGCTTTGAAACGGTGAGGGCTGAAATCTGGGTGCAGGTCCTGTGTGTGATGGCTTGTGCCAGGCTGCTGGCCTGGATGAGGCTGTTGCTGCATGATCAGGAGGTTACAGAAGACTGTGCAGGGATAAATGTTTGGGGAACTGTGTGTGGGGTGTTGGGGACATACTGAAGGACGTCACTAATGGTGGTGTCCTGAGCTGGCAGGGACACACAAGGGTCACCAGTCCAATTCCCACCATGTAGATCCCCTTGTTTATGTTTCATTGATCATGTAAAGGGGTTGGATTGGAGCTTAGAGATCATCCAGCCTCAATCCTGGCTGGGGCCCTGGGCAGGGACACTTCCCACCAGAGCAGGTTGCTCAAGGCTTGATCCAACTTCTTATTCACTCTGATGCTCCTTACTTCATGACAGTAAAACTCTTCACCCTCTCAATGTATTGACCATTCCCACTTCCATTTCACCATGTATGGCTGCAAACTGCTGCACAGCTTCAGCCTGGGGCAGTGTCAGGCCTCAGGGATCAGCCTCTCAAAATTCACCTCCAGCAAGCTGCTGGAAGCTTCTCCCTTCTCTCTGCTGACTTGGAGGAGGATTGCACTTCAACAAAACTGAGCCAGCAAGAACCACCCCAACCTTTCTAAACCATACATGCTCAGAAAAGTCAAATGAGAGGAAAATATGTTCTTTCTAGCAGTGTAAGAGCAGTGAGATCCAGCAGTGAGTGTGAGCCAAAACCTGTTTCACAGATCACTGGTTTGTTGCTGTGAGTTGTAGGGGTGAAAAGTAGGACTGAGTAGAAATGGTAGAGGGAAACTGAGGACAGATTGGATTGGTTTGAATTGGTGTTTGCCTCTGAGCTCCAGTGCCTGTGCTCTCAGGGTATGGCTGTTCTGCACCACCCTATGTGCTCTGTGGCACTGCCTTATCCCTCAAAGGAAGAGGAGAATGATGTTGGAAACAGTGGATCTAAATCCATCAGACACAGCTTCTGGGACACACCAACGAGCCCTCGAGCCTTCACTTGCTCCTTTGTCACTCTCCAGAATAACCCACCAGTATAACCTCCAAACCCACAGTGTTGTTTCCCCTCACACTCTTCTTCTTCCACCCCCTCCATCCCTCAGAAGAGCCCCAGGACCTGTGTAAGAGCAGAGCTCAGTGTGAGCGAGAGAGCAGCAATTTAACTGTCTCCTTTGAACTGGGAATTCCAAAGCCTGTTGCTTTCAGAAGGCAGTTCAAAGTAGTTTCAAAGTCTCTACCTGCTCTGCAGGTTCAAACTCAGCTCTGCAAATGCTCTGTGTGGAATTCCCAGCCTGTGTCTTCCAAGGCCCTTAGCTGGGCAGAGCAGAGGTAGACCCAGAGGTTTTCATGAACACTGAAAAGCAGCCAAATGAAGTGCAGAAGAGTGAGATGCACTTTCAGCTTTCTGGTGATCCATTTCTAAGTTTGTTCTTGTAATCCAGCACATTAGGCCACAAGACTAAGGCAATCCAATGGACTTCAGTATCATAAGGATTTTTGTTCCCTTTAAGCTTGGGTAGTACCTCTAGGCCTCATCTTAAACTGATTTCCTAGAATGAACTCTCAAGGCAGATCCTTTAAATAAAGGTTTGATGAGCGTATTCGAGACCCTTGCGAGTTCCTTAGGTGTTACCTGCCCCACTTAGTGACCAAATGCTGGATTGTGGCATTAATGTTAGTGGTAAGTAGTTAGTGTGAGGCCCTTTGTGAGAACAGGACTGTTCCATTCCCTTTTTTCCGTGGAGTGAACCCCAAGGAGCCTCTGCAGGCCCTTGGCCACGCAGACTGAGTGTGTGGGCTGAGTGTAGGGTTCATGTATCTGTCACACTGAGGATAGGCTGACTGCTCCAAATTCATTTCTAGGCTGAAATTCATTTCTAAGGTAGGAACTGGTTTGGGAAACAAAATAGTGCCCAAACCAGCAAAATCTTGCATAGCATCCTGATTCCCTGTGAATTCCTTAGCACTACCTTACCAGCAGGATGGTGAACATCCTTATCAATGTCTTGTTTAAAGCAAAGGGAGTTCCTGTGCTAGTCCCAGCCTTTCCAGGGGGTAAGAGCATTCCTGGTGTTGATTTAGCCCTCTTTTTTCCAACAGGTATGACAGTTCAGCAATCAGAATTACATTCTTGATCAAAGTCCCACCATTAACTTGCAGCCAAGCAGTCAGACAGTGCCAGTTTTGTGACTCAAACCAGTAAGAGTTCTTCCTGCACCTTCGTGTCTTCCTCCCCACTTGCAGTCTGGATAAGGAGCATCAAGAAGGGATGCCTAATTTGGCATGTCCTAGAGTCACTCAGAACTTGGAGAGGAAAAAGAAAACCCTCAGAGAAGTGGTGCTATTGAACTAATGCAAGTCCTCTATCAGTTATGCAGCCTACTTAACTAGGTGGTCCCCAGGTTTATATTTAGACTGAGCAGGTCTTTGTTGTCAGAGCAGTGGGACTGACTACATTTTCCCCCAAATAAATACTTTATTCAGCCTTGCCATGTGTGTGTCCCCTCCAAGCTGCTTTTCCCACCCTGTGCTTGTTGAAATCCAGCAGCTGTGTTCAGCAGTGTGGTTCTGTGACTCAACCAGACTGATGTAAAGCAGATCCTTCAGCCCTGCCTTCTGTTCTGTGGATGCCTTTTCACTAGCTCTGTCCATCTTCCCATGAAGGGTTTTGGTGGAAACTCTGAGTATTAGAAGCCATCTCTGATCATTGCTGGCATCACTGGTGTCTGGTTTAGTCTGACCTAACAAAGCTTTTTTCCCTTCTTCCAGGCCAAGGAGTGTGGTCAGATGCAGAACAAATGGCTCATGATAAACATTCAGAACGTGCAGGATTTTGCTTGTCAGTGTCTCAACCGTGACGTGTGGAGCAATGAGGCTGTGAAGAACATCATCAGGGAGCACTTCATCTTCTGGCAGGTGAGGAGCTGGGTGGGGATAGATGTGGGTGGCACTTGGTAGATGGGACAGTGAAAAAGGAATGGATTTCTTTGGGTCAAATGGCAGTGGTGCAATTCTCTGGGGGAACGTGCAGAAAAGATGTATTTCATGGAGTTTGTGTAGTTCGTGGATGCAGATGTAAGTCATGGAGATGCATTTGAATGCATGAACTGCCTTTCACATGTGCAATCAAGGTGCTACTGATACACAGAATCATAGCATGTTAGGGGGTTGGAATGGAGTTTAGAGATCATCCAGCCCCAACCCCTGCCCTGGGCAGGGACACCTCCCACCAGAGCAGGTTGCTCAAGGCTTTAGCCAACCTGGCTGTGAACACTGCCAGGGTTGGGGCAGCCACAGCCTCCCTGGGCAACCTGGGCCAGTGTCTCACCACCCTCACAGCAAAAACTTCTGCCTAATATCTAGCTTAAATTTCTTATTTCAATTTATCCCCATTACCCCTTGTCCTGTCCCTGCAGTTCCAAACACAGAGTCCCTCTGCAGCTTCCCTGGAGCCCCTTCAGCTCCTGCAGGTTGCTGTGAGCTCTCCACACAACCTTCTCTTCTCCAGACTGAACAGCCCCAACTCTCTCAGCCTGACCTTGTAGGGGAGGTGCTCTAACCCTCTTAGAAACCTCATGGCCTTCTCTGGACTTGCTCCAACAGTTCCATGTCCTCCTTATGTTGGAGACACTGGAGCTGTGTGCAGTATTTCAGGTGGGGCCTCACCAGAGCAGAGGGGCAGAATCTAATGTGGAGAATCAGAGGCACATTTTCAGCTTCTCAGAATTACTGAGAACTGTATGCCCCATTTGTAGCTCATACCTCTGTGCATCTCAAGGGCTCCCTGTGTGTTCCCTCTCCAGCCCCTGACGTGCTGCCTCATGGTGTTTTGCAGGTGTACCACGACAGTGAGGAGGGGCAGCGCTACATACAGTTCTATAAGTTAGCTGACTTCCCCTATGTCTCCATCCTGGATCCCAGGACAGGTAAGGCAAGGGACAGCTGGTTCCCTGCACTTATCCTGTGGGAAGGACTGGCAGGTGCAGTCACCTTTCACACTTGGTGTTGCATTCAGCTGGAGGATCTCGGTGAGACCTTGGTGTCCTTGAAGGAGTGTGTTCTGGGAATGCTCCGTGGGAACCGAAGGAATAAAACCTCCCAAACTTGCTGAAATGTTGTGTATTTGAAGCTTGGGAAGTGCTTTGCTTAGGAAGTGAAGATGGTTCCACCTGGTGGCAAATCTCTGCATTTAGTTCTTTTTCAAAGTCCCCTTTTAAAAGCTTCTTGAACTATGAGCTGCAGTATTTGTGAGCACTACGTGGATCTGCTTCCTGCCCCTTCCCCAGGAGCTTTCTGAGGCTCAGCAAGGACTTCTTAAATTACGTCTTCACTTTGAAATACCATTTTGGCTTTGGGTTTGATGTTTTGGTTTGTCTTTTTTTCACCTGAACATTCAAACTTCCACCTCTCCATTCAGCTCTTTTAAAACTGTTACTTTTTCTTTTGTATCCCAACACCTTCTTTTATCATCATGTAATAATGTCACCATATACTAATGGTCTCTGGTCTTCTGCTTCTCAGGGCTGAAGGAGAGTGTGATCAGAGCTGAAATTTCTTTGTGTTGGACTTACACCACACAAAAATATGTATGTTTTGTAATGTTGCAGCTGAAGTTTGGATCCTCTTCTTGGGACTTTGGGGAACAAATGTTGTTTGCTAAGGGTTAGAATCTATCTGGCAAGAATGTAGAAAAGCTTCTTCATAAACTCAGTGGTTTGATGTTTATTCCTTTTGAAGCCAAATTCACCACTCTGTGCACGTGTTCGCAGAGATAAAAGAAGGGAAATAAGCCAAGTCTCTATTCATGTCTGTCCCTTCTCAAGGGGGAGGAGGAAGGATGCTCCATAACCATCAGGTGGGAAGCTGCAGTTCCACACACCTGGACTCTTGCAGCAGAACTGGTGTATTTGACCACTGAGCTGCAACTTTGGGCTGAAATTATGTCTCATGATGCCTTTTGTTCCCTAGGCCAGAAACTAGTGGAGTGGCACCAGCTAGATGTGACTTCTTTCCTGGACCAAGTGACCGGATTCCTGAGTGAGCATGGGCAGCTGGATGGCCACTCCACCAGCCCACCCCAGAAGTGCTCTCGCTCAGTAAGTACAAGGCCCTCTGAGAGACACCTGAAGGAACACACTGGTCTGTGCTTATCCAGCTGTCCTTATTGTCCCTTCAGGAGTACAGATAGACCCCATGAGTTAGTGTAAAACTCAAGTGTGCCAGGGGATGTCTTCTTGGATAACTCCTTTGTTGTGCAGTTTGTGCTCTCAGCAGTTGGTTTGGGTTTAGCCGTCGCAGTACGATGCAGGTGTGAAGGGAAAATGGATTAGTCCATGCAGAACTCCAAGGAGAAGCCATTAGGTGATTACAGCATGCCTAGCTTTCCCTGCTGTTTGTTCCTGGCAGGTTTAGTAACTTCCCTTTGGGAGACTGATGTCCTTTGGATTTTCAGGGCATATTTCACAGCAGCTCTGATGCATTTGTGTGCTGTCTGCATTCCCCAGGAGAGCCTCATCGATGCCAGTGAGGACAGCCAGCTGGAAGCTGCTATCAGGGCCTCCCTGCAGGAGACACACTTTGATTCCTCCCAGGCCAAGCAGGAGAGTCGCTCGGATGAGGAGTCAGAGTCAGAGCTCTTTTCTGGGAGCGAAGAGTTCATTTCGGTGTGCGGATCCGAGGAGGAGGAGGAGGCAGAGATTCCTGCCAAGCTCAGAAAGTCTCCACACAAGGACTTGGGGTACAAAAAGGAGGAGAGCCGGAGGCCTCAGCCTGAGCCCTCTGCAAGGACTGAGCCTGGGCCCACAGCAAACCACAGAGCACTGCCCTGCGCGGACGCAGCGACGCCGGAGCCGTCGCCTGACAAGCCTGAGAGCTCGTGTCGGGGCCTCGATGCCAACGGTGAGTTCCCTCCTCTTACCACGGCCTCACCTTGGTGCTGGACCTTATCCTGAGGCTCTGTATACACTACCAAGCATGGTGTCAGCCCTCCTTTCTAAAGATGAATCTCCTCTGGCTTCCTCCCTCCCTGACACCAGGCACGTGAGTGATTCCTCGTGCCAGCAGCACTACAGCAGTGTCACAGCCTGCAGAGTCCTGTTACTCACAGAACCACACAATATACTGAGCTGGAAGGGACCCACAAGGATCATCAGTCCAACTCCCACCATGTAGACCATGTTGTTTGTGTTTCACAGGTCATTGTATCACAGTATGGTAAGGGGTTGGAATGGAGCTTAAAGATCATCCAGCCCCAACCCCTGCCCTGGGCAGGGACACCTCCCACCAGAGCAGGTTGCTCAAGGCTCATCCAACCTGGCTGTGAACACTGCCAGGGTTGGGGCAGCCACAGCCTCCCTGGGCAACCTGGGCCAGTGTTCTACCACCCTCACAAGGAAAAAGCACTGACTGGTGTCAGTCACTGCTGTTTTGGAAGAGCCACAAGTTTGATGTGTATATTTTAAGCACATGTGATAGAAATCTTCACAGACTGGAACCTTGTGTCTGTCTCAGTCCCTAACCCAATGCTGTCCCACCCAAAATACACAGAAGAGCTCAACTCTGCTGCCTGCTTGTTTGTTAACTTCTAGTAACTTCCTTTTTGCTAGGACCAAAGGCACAGCTGATGCTAAGGTATCCAGATGGAAAGAGGGAACAAGTTTCACTGCCTGAGCAAGCTAAACTTCTGGTGAGTGGAATTAACAGGAATCCTTGTTTGAGTACAGGGGAGCTGAAACTGGAGACTGTCAGTACCTCTGGTGGCACTGTTGAGATGGGATCTACTGGCAGAAGTATATCCAGACGCTGCCATTCCCTTGTGCTCCATATCCTTCCTCTCTGATCAGCTGCTGGCTCTGTGTTGCCATTGCTGCTTGGGTTGCTGTGTACATCCCAATGTCTTCCTTCATCCCCAGGCTGCTCACTTCACCTCTAAAATGACCAAATGGCTTTTGCATTGCTCATTAATTACCGTGAAGTGCTCTCAGCTCACTCATTTGAGGGCCTTTGTTTCTAAATGGAAAAGTTTAGTTGGCTCCCATGGTAAAATCCAAGGCAAAACTCTTCATTCTTGTTCTCCAGCTCTTCTACCATCTTCAGCCCTCCCTTCTGGACATGGATGATGGAACAGACTGTGGAGGAAGTTCTCCTAAAATTTATTACATTATTATTCAATTCCTGTGCTTTGGGTGTGTGTCTCAGCTATGCTTTCACCTTGCTTCCCTTGGAGGAGTCCATGTGGGTGGCATTTCCATCCAAATCTTGGGACTGCTTCCCTGGAAGCAGTGTGTGAAGAGGTCACTGTGTCCCTGTGAGCTGTGAGTTTTCATGGCACTGTGGCCAGTTAAGCTCATTTTAATGTAATCAACATAAAAGCTGTGCCTTGAAGCTGAAGGAAGGCAAAATTACCCCTCTTCAGGAGGATTTTGTGCAGATCTGGGAGAAAATCATCCTATCTCTTACAGAAAATGAGCCTAGTCTGCAGCATCTAGGAGTGTGTAGTGTCCTAAGCTCAGGTTCTTGCCCTTAACTCTCCTGCTTGAAAATAAGAGGGGAAAAAAAGCTTTTCTGCTTTGTGAAAGCAGCCTGGTAAGTAAATT